TTTTTTACTTACTAAACTTTCGTTCCACTGTTGTGTTTTTGCATTTATTGTTTTGTGTTCGTTTATTTATTTATGTTTAGTTGTAATTGTTTTTATCTTTAGTCAGTTTAGTCTGTTCAGTTGTTTGTTTGTTTGTATGTATGCATACTTTTGCTGCTTTTTTAACCCATTTTTTATTTATTTATTTTATTGCATATTTATGTTTTGTATATTTTCTGTTCTTTTACTGCCTTCAACCATGTCTCGGTCTACTTTGTATGCCCTTTTTTGTTATTAATAAATTACATACTATTATTTTACTTCACTGCACAAATACAATATTTACAAACGATTTCTGTTTACTTTTTAATTTTATTTTATTTTTTAAATCTTTTGCTTTTACCCTAATGTGTAAAGTTCCCGCCTGCATTTACCGTTTTTTACTTCGTATAATTAACTGATTTTACTGTGTTTTGTCGTTTGTTGCTATTTTTCTGTTTTACTAATTTTTACCTGTTCGCCATTTTGCCCCTGTTTTACTTATTTTAGTGATTTTTTTTTTCAATTTTGAATTTATACGGGTTTTACATGCTTTCTTATCTTGTAATTTCTCAATATATTGTTTTTGTGTTTTTTTTTTTGGTTTATTTTGTTTGAAATTTAAAACTGTGAAAAAATATTTACGTTTCTTCATCTATTTTTATTTGTATGTATGTGTGTATGTTTTAAATATTTTACCAACGGGGTTCTTCTCTCATACTCGCTCTCTCTCTTTGTCGCACTCTCATCTCTTTCGTCCTTTCTTCTCTTGCTTGGTCTCACACTAACGCCACTTGCCTCTTCCACTTCAAGATCTGATCTTCTCTTTCTTTTCCTCTTCCTCTTCCTCCTCCATCTACTTTTAGTCCTCCCATATGCACTTTTCTCTCACCTAATACAAAAATGTATTTCAATTTTTTTTTTGTTTCTATGTATAATTTTATTTTTATGTTTTTTTAATTTCTATTTTTTGTTTGTTGCAATTGTGTTTGATTTCGTTTTAATATGCAAAGGGTGTGCGCATGCGCGCTACTTGATATTCAACTGTTTTCCTTGCTTGTTTGTTTAGTTGTTTACTGTTATGCGTTGTTTTTGCGTTTTGTTTTGTTTTTTTGGTTTCTCTTTCTGTTTATTGTTTTTCGCTGTCTTGTTTTTGTTGTATATGCATTTCTCTTTGTATTTTGTATTTATTGTAGTAAAGAATTATTAAATAATTTTCATTGTTTTATTGTTGTGCTGTCGTACTTTGCGTATTCCTGCGTTGATATTTTGGTTTGTAATTGGCTTTTAAGTATTTGCTCAATTTAGGCCATTTTAGATCGTTTGACTCTTAGAAGCGTTTGAAGAACGTAAATCTCTCAAATATTACATATTTTAATTAAGGAAAGAATGTCATTAATTGTGCTTTTGTTTTGTGGCTTTTACTTAAGATATACTTTTACTTAATTAATATTTCTTGCCTATATAAATAAACGAGATCAGAATTTCGAATGCCACAGTTTTTGAAAATTGTTATTCCATTACAAGATATCATAATTGGTTTAAGATTCAAGTTAAAAAAAAAAAAAAAAACATTTTCCTTTTTTGTAGAAACTTATCATGTCCATTCGACATTAAATTAGTAGAAATCAAAAACAAGATTGTCAAGGGGAGGCTCAGACATTTTTGTTGGTTTAAGCGACTTTTAATATTAGAACCAGTTGGTAGCAATCTATAGCCGTTCGTTCAAAAGTTTTTGTAGCCAAGCTTAATCTCAAATCCAAATTTTATTTGTTCAATGGAAGCTTGACCCAATCATATACATATGTATTTAAAACAAATTTTATTTACTTGCCATAATTATACTTCCTTAAACGTGGTTTTTATAAGGACATCAGAGGTACTTTAATCGAAACCCTCCTGATATTGGCTAAGTGAAATTACACACCCTAAAAAACACTTAGATGTCTTGTTAAGACTTAAAATTTTCTTATAGGGAAAGCTATTGAAGCGCTAGAGAGGAAAATTGAGAGCAATATGTTTTGTAAAGCCCTTAATTCGTCAGACCTCTTTGGTTCTACCATTGGTTTAATGAGGTATGAGCATAGCTTTAAAAAAAAATTAGAACCTCCTAAGCATTTTAGATCCCTCGTCTGGCAGGGGTTTTTTTTCTACACACATACATAATTATTTTCAGAAGACTTATATAATTCTTACGAAAATTTTGATGATTTTTTTAAAGACTCCACCGGCAAAAAAGCATACAGTTTTGACCAGGGACCGTAACAGTTTCAACTTTTATTATAAAAGTCGCTATTTAACAATTATTTTTTGCCTTTTATTAAATTACTTCTTAAATAACAATTATTTCTGATTTTTATTTTATAAATCCAAAATAAGAGTTATTTTTTTATTTTTATCTAAATAATCTGCAAATAATAGTTATTTTTGATTTTTATATTATATGTCTTAGATAACAGTTATTGAAGACTATTATTTATAAAAGTCATCAATAAAAATCAGTCAGTTAGAGCTTTTCCATGTACAACATAAAGGACAAAGATTAAATATTGTAGAAAATATGGAGTAATATAAACAGAAAACCTTCAAAGGGCAAATGATAAATGAACAAATAAAGACTACATTGGACGTACTATTTGAACCTCTAAAACTACCGTACGAGAAGAAAAACAAAAAAAAACATTAAAGACACTGAAGAAAAACACAACAACGCAAAACTAAGAAGACGTACGTGAGATAGAAAAAGAAGTAGAATATAACGAGTAGGACGAGCATCCAACAAGAATTCACCAGAATGAAAAAAATTACACCGAAGATAGCATAACGCCGAAACCGGTTTGTCTCCAAACCAAATTTGACAAGGGGTGACACAAATTCTTTCCAAAATACATCGACCGAAGAGTCCTTCCACGTATTTTTTGCTTATAGTTTGCTTTACCATCAAAGCTCAAATGATCACCATTACTGGGGACAAGTCAGGGGATAGACAATTTGTTTAAGGACTCCGTGTAATGATAGTGCATTCAGTTCTGCCTCTAAGATGCCTTAAAGTTCAACAGTAATCGTCAAAATGTTACACAGACTCTGACGAAAGCTACTTTTTTGTGTAAACCTCTGTCAACACGCAACTAAAGGATGCAAAATGGGATGAAGTAGAGCTCGTGGTTTATGCCATTTCAATAGCATGAGCAGAAAGAAAATTACCTCAAACTCTCTGTGATTTGATGTGGAGGACTAGAGGAGGGTGGCGTCAAATTGGTCGATCCAATGCGGCCTAAGTGACAGTTCGAGTAAGGCAATACTTATTAGCTTCTCAAAAAAAAAATATGTATACCTCACTTTGTAAAGGAAGTAGAAAAATAATTCATAATTAGTCATGCACACATGTAGACAATATAGAAAAGATCGAGACTAAACCACAAGACATTTGCTGGCGGCAGAGATCCGAGCACTTGTGTCTTTTTAATGCCAAAGGATAGCACGTCACCATTACCTTTGTTTAAGAGATTCTATAATGCGGAGTTCCAACACTTAGCCCGGACCCGCACATTGTCGAATCTTTACTGATGACTGCGAGGCAGGATCGGGGCTCTTCATGGAAGATAATGGCGATAAGCTTTGCTTTAATTTTGGGGAATAAAGCTGAGGTATTTCCAAAGCCATGGACTACGTGGTGGGAAATAGTTGAAGGGGAAGGAGTTTACGTGTCTGCAGTGCCAGCCAAGCTGCATTTAAGGCATTGGACAGCCCTCCGGCAATACAAGTCCTGAGACTAAATTATGATGGTAAACATAATGAGCTTGCTTTACTCTGGGTGCTTGGTCACTCGGGAGTACCCGGTGATGAGACATCTGCCCATTTGGCCAGAGTTGGCTTACATCAGGCATTCGTCGGTCCGCAACCAGTTATAGCACTCCCGCCTTTGGCCACCGAAGACTTATTAAATGGAACATGAAAACAGTACAATGAACGACACGTAGTCTGAGAGCCTAGTTTCGACAACAAAAAATATCACAGGATTTGCGATTACGGATATGCAGCGGAGCTACCGCAAACCAATGATCCATTAGCCAAACCACTTAACTTAACTCAATGATGGTTTGATGGCTCAGCATAGTAGTTTAAAGGAAGTTTAGGATGTCTTAGAAGGAAAATTTTTAGCATATGCTTTGCAAAAAACCTTTCGCCTGTAACCCGGAAGCCACGGCAATGTTGCGTAAAATAAAAGGAGAATGGACCAAAGGACCTGCTATTCAATCAGCTTTTTTTTTATCTGTGAAACGACTTCAACGCCTTTCAAGCTGAATTTTATGCAATAGCAAGGGCAGCTAGCGTTATACTACAACCAGCAGTGTGACCAGGTTAGCCTTTTGGGGCTAGATTTAGCACTTGAGTTTCTTAAATCGATTCTAAAACTCGACAGACCTATAGTAAGAGTTCTAACCGACGTCATCAAAGGATACTAAGCTTTTGCGCTAATACTACAAAGGTAGCAAATACGCGTTTATAGTGAGGAGGAAACAATTCAACAACTTCCGTGTTAATGTCCGGATCTGCTGTCAAGGCTGGTCAAACACCTGGGGTAAGTCTGTCAGTATGTATGTACAGATGTACCATCTCTCAGCCTCATCAAGTCTGTATAAGCCGCTTAAAATCTAAATATTTGCCTGCGATTCATTAAATTCTTGACAATCTTGTTTGGTAAAAAAAAAAAAAAAATTACGAGATCATTTTGGTTTTGTCCAAATGAGCAGAACTTGACATAATCGGCGTTTAACTATGCAACGAAAAATATTGATTTTTAATTCGTTTGTTTACTTAAAATGATAGAAATTGTGAGCTTTTATAAACCCTCACATGCTTATAATAAATTCCTGGTTTGCTTACTAGCTTTGATTTCAAGTTACTGAAGAGTCTGAAATTTAGTGTTTGGATAATTGGGGCTATTGTTTTTGTAATATAAGTAGTTGCATGTCTTATTGTTTTTTTCTTCTTATTTTTCGCTGTTAATTATATGGCGCCATGTTCTGTTTTAAAAAAAGTCTACATCTTATTGATAGCCATATCTGCTGACACTTTGCTCTTCTTTCTTAGCATAAAAGATACAAATTTTGCATAAATTTTTCTTCATTACACTTTTTTGCTATACAAAACCGATTATCAACATTACTGTCCATAAACATAATTATCATTATCATCTTCAGCTTCATCATTATCACCTCTTTAACTCATTATGCTTCCCTCAACATAAACATCATCATCATCATCATCATCATCATGATCATCATCTTTCTTAGATATCATTTATCCTCATCAATCAGCATCATCATACTGTATTCGTTTTGGGTAATGCGAGCTTTTAGGTACATTTACTGGTAATTAGTGAGAAGTAAAAAGTCTTTGATTTGGCGCTGCATTAGAGACTTACTTGCTGCATTTTGTCGAAGTCTAAGCACGGCCGATGTGGTCGCTGTAGCCTCTGTGTGGCGTGTTGTGTGCGTATCGGTCGGCGGTGTGGTGATCTAGCCGAATGGAAGAGTTTCGCCGGTGGACTAACCGAGCGCACCTCCATCGCATCGAGAGCGGTCGTTGATGCTGGACTGCTGCGCGAACTATTATAGTGGAAATTATATTTCGGTTGCGGCTGATAGATATGATGGCTGCTATTGCTCATTTTGAGCGATGAGGCGCACGCCTTAATCACACTCGTTGAACTGGCGTTACCACCGCAGGCGCCGCCACCACCACCGCTACCGTTGCCACCACTTGCTGCGCCCAACGACGACGACGCACACGACGCAGCGCCAGCAGCCTCACCATTTTCGTCATTAACACTATTATCACATAATTTAATATTTTCGATGCCACAGCGCGCCTCCGATAATATCAGTGGCGTTGTGGAGCGATATTTGTGGCTGCGGTTTGGCTTGAAAGCTTCCAATGGTGGCGATGTGCGAAAATTCACTGGGGTCAACACCGGTTCCAAGAAGTTCCTCAGCTGCTAAATGACAAATAAAGAAAGAGTTGAATATCAATCAAAATTCCATGTATCGCTTTGCTTTGTTGGCTTACGTCATCATCGGAGCTGTGGGCCAGAGATCTTTTACGATTCTCAACTAATGTTGAGCTGGAACGTTTCGATGTCGATGCTTCGCCGAATAGTTCTTCGGGCTCCAACGACGATGAGCCACGCTCCGATATGAGTGATGAGGCGGTGCCCCGCACCCCCAATACATTGGACGCCGCCTCAGCGGCTGCAACCGATGATGGTCCATTGATCACTTCCAATTCCTCCTCGGAGCTGTGTTGATCGTATAAAAGGTGGGATTGACACATCATCGCAGAGGACGCTGACGAGGAGCAGGCGGTGTCTGTGGTTGGCGAATTCACATCGGCGCACGAGCTTAAGCCTGAAGGGGAAGAAAAAGGGAAAATAATTGTATTCTATCTTACAAGAACAATAGAGCGTTTAATTTCTGCCCAAAGAGATTATTTCAAATAATCTTCGACAAGTTTTTTTTTTTTATGAAAATCGCAGATAGAAATAAATGGAAGCGGATATTTTTTGCAAGTTCCACAGCGTACGTTCTCTTTGAATGAGCTGTGAGATTCCCTATAATGAACTGTCTTTAAACCTTGGCCTAGTCGACCTCAATACTTCGGCGTTGTCTAGGCTGACGTGAAAGCCATAATGTAAGTTGTTCTTTGACTCTATTTTACAGAAAAGCTATCAAAAAGTCTCTAAAACCTCAAAGCATCAGCAGGTGAGATACCGATTATAGACCACGTTGCTGAAGCCAATTGTCGATCCCGACGACGAAACTTCTTCTGGGGCTGGACTGCTTAAAAAGTAGGGAAGTAGGAGAACCTTAACAGTCTTTAGAGGAGAAGACTCCTTCATCTTTGTTTAAACTACTAAGTTTCACATAAAAAATTCACTGCCAAGACTAAAACAGAACAATTTTGAGTGCCCAAAGCTTAATGGTTAAACCTTTGGTTCTTTTCCAAACTGGCGAAATATCTGATATTCTACTACATCCATTGTCATATACTTCTACAAATTAGAACTTCCAAATTACTGCTACAGTATAAAATGTATAACGGTCTTCAATAAAATACGGCGTTCATAAGGAATTTGTGGCTAAAACAAAATTCCAATGAATTTCTTAATCATTCTGAAAACAATAATCTTATAAGACGCTCCTAGAGGGAAACGTAGAGGCAAAAAGTGGGTTAATAGGGACACTGCCTGAGGCCTCCTGTCTACAAAAAATTCTTACGAAAGAGCCTTCCAATGGGGTAGGACTCCTAAAATAGAATGATGGTATTTTCAAGGGCGACAACTTTAAATACCTGCTCTAAGTACATTTTCCAGGCTCTTCGCTGGGACAAGATCGGTCGATTCTTATTTCCACGAAATGTAGGGTTAGAAGGCTCAGCAGGTCTGGTTGCATCTTTGACAGAGACAAAGTACCGGGGGCATTAGAGTGTTTTGAACCTTTCAAAGTAGCAGAGGGTGATGATATATATCCGGTTTTTGATAATACTACCTACTGAGTTCAAGGACACTGGTCCAAAGAAGCACGAAGTTCTCTACTGTCGGGTGAATAAACACCTTGCTTCGTGACCGCGATTTAACAGCACCCCTAGGCAACAGTTCCGTGAACATAAAAGCCAGGGAGGTTTTCTGGGTTGGACTCTACTCTATATTTTTGTCCAAGTAGCAGCCGATTCGAGGAAATTGCAAATGCAAATTTCGGATTTCGGAAAGAATACCTTTATAAAAAGACACAACAACAAAACCATCTTAAGCAAAAGAGCAGGTATAAGAATTTGCTAGTTCTCCGACTCCATGCTAAAGAAAATCTGAGTTGCAAAGAAATTTCTGGTCAAAATTTCAGACCGAGGGGTCTGGTCAAATAGTTTACTTGAATTAGATCCCAGATACGTGCGCTGTGTACTCTGGTATACAGAGGAATCAAAGAAGGAGGACAGAGTAGGTGCGGGTGTATATGGACCTGACACCAAACTTTCTATTACAATGGACATTTGGTCCACCGTCTTTCGAGTCGGGGTACTAGCAATTTCAATTTTTGGCAGTTTGGAGCTTGAAAAGGGTTTAAAAGCGCTTTTCTAGCTATCCTTTCAGACAGCCAGGCGGCCAACCGGGTCCTATGGCAAGGACGATAATCTCTAGGCTCGTCAAGAAGGGCTTTGGCACTCGCCAAATCTTGGCAACAAGGAACATGGAATGCGGAATCGCAGGTAACGACATCGCCGAGAAATTCCAGGGAAGGCTCATTGTCTGTACTTGCAGGACTGAAACCATTTTGTGGACTCCGTTGGTCCTGCTCGAGACTCATAAACGAAGTGTGGGTAAATTTAGAACGCAATATGTACTGAGGAGAGCTAGAGGGACTTAGACAGGCTTGCATTTTTTGCCTATCCTTTCGCTGAGAAAGATTTAAATCTTATAGAATAGAGCCAACATAAAGTTATTCCGGCCTCTACACAGAGACTGATTGCCGTCTTTGTTTTGAAAAGGAGGAGACACCGCAGCATTGGCCAGACTAAGGTTTCAATACTTCAGATCTTCCACAGCCCTTTATGCCAGGAATTCGTCTACCAAGAATTTATTAGTTTTTATTAGAGAGGCTGATAATTGCTTGAACTGTCAGGGTTAGGAACTATTAAGGGGCTACAAAAGTTCTTCTAGGTCGCGGTGTCCCCTGGTTCTGTTGCACCCATTAAATTTAAATTACATTACAAAAATAAAAAAGGAACCAAAAAAATTAGTTAGGGTCTTTCTTTATTAAATGAAAGCATTGAAAATATTAAGAAAATTCATTCAACTCACTGGTTTCCATGTCCAAGTCTAAGGGGCGATGCTTGTCAACATCTAGGACGTCACCATCAGATTCGGTACCGGAATCATTCGACTCGCCCTGAAAGCAAAGCAAACACAAACACAAACACATTTTTATTTATTTATGTAAAAAAACAAATATATACAAACAAAAATAACACGGACATGATATAGTATACAGAAATTGTAAACGCACACGAATACATGCGCGTAAAATACGCACATACACATAAAATAAATTTGTATACGCATACATTTTTTAACTAAAACTTTCTGTTTGTAATAGTGCGCGGCGGAATTTCCGGACTTACGCGAAGCGGACGTGCGTTCGCAAAACAATTTTATTTACGGAACTAAAAAATTGGGGGAATAAAAGAAATGTGCAATAAACTGCAGCTTGAAAACACGAAAATACTTGTGCGCCATAAAGTTGGGAAAAGGTCGAAAAAGCGAGCAGACACTGACATTAAGGAAGCAAAGGATACAACGACCACTACATCGACGAGGACGGCACCGATGCCGACACCGACACCGACGTCTAGGCACTTTTGCGCTTGCTACGATGTGGGTGTGTGCTAGTGTGTTGGTGTATGTGTGTGAGGCGCGCGCGCGTAAGAGTGTGTCCATGCATATCAATGTCTGCGTGCGTCTATTTCAACACTACGCCGGCAGACGCTCACCTTTTTCTTAAAGAAACTCTTGCTTGATGCTTTAACTGTTTGTTCGCGATTCTTTTGCCTAACAAACTTTATCATTATTATTATATTTAGCACAGCTTAAACACAGTTTTTCTTAAATGCGACTAACTTCACAAATATGCAGAGCGTTTCATTCTTTTAAAACTAAAAAAAAAAAAAACGCTGCCAAGAAGCTGACTAACGTTGCTGCTTTAGTATGTACGACGCCTTTGAGGTCGCGTTTCCTGTCTCACTCGGTGCTGTGACTGGGTCCAGTTGAGTTGCTTCAAAGACTGCCTAGCTGTCTGGCTGTCTTGTTTAACTCCTTCTTTTTAGGCGCTCGCTTCTTTGTCTCACCACTAACTAACTGGCTTGCGAACAGACTGGCCTTTCTAGAAAGCACTTCCTTTAAAACGCCGCAGCCAATGCTAACAACGATGACAGAGACGACGATAACGACGACGTCGCCGCCAACGCTGCACGAGTCACGTTTACATTTTTTACGGCATATTTTAAGGCTGCAGACGGTAACAACAACAAGTGCAACAACATCCATAAAAGAGCTGACTCGCATGTATGTTTCACGGTAGTAGTAGTAGTATTAGTAGTAGCGCTACTGGTTGTGTTGGTAGTGATTGTAGCCGAGCGGCACAAATCGACGAGACACGGATACGCCAACGAGCAGGCAGTTGGGAATGACATCGCGTTCGTCAACGTTATCGCCATCGTAGTAATCATAGGCATAGTCATAATCATAGACGTAGCTATTCTCATCAACAATATAATTATCATCAGCGGCAGCGCCTGTCGATATGCAGCTAGCAAAAGCTCGAGCGCTAGCAAAGCGCAGACAGCGACGCGCACTTAGTTGTCATTCCGCAGCTTTCGTAAACGTATTGCTCACTATTTTACCGTTAAACGCGTTGCTGCTTATATTATTTTATTATTATTTTCGTTGCTGTAGACTTTGCTGCGCTGCTGTTGACGTTGCCGCTGCCGGTTACGTTGCTACCGCGCTGCGGCGCTCAAGCGACAGCACTGCTGCCGAGCACCTTTCGCCGTAAGATACAGCACGAAAATATCGATTTTACATCTACGACGACGACAGACGACCGAATCCTGCCAAACGCATTTCTCAAGTGCGTTTCTTTTGCAACGCGAAAGCCACTAAATTTACTTGCTAACGATATGTAAATCACTGCAAAATTTCCTACGGCTAACTCGGGCGCATACAAAAAATTTTCACTTATAATAATTGTCAAATTTTCACAAAATTCTACCACGAACTGAGTTCTTTTCACTTGTGCGCACAATTCACGATTGACGCGATTGCATGTTTGCGAAGCGCAATGCATGAATATACCTTATTTGTTGATTGTTTTTTTTTTTTTGTGTTTTATAAATTTTGCATGTCTCTATCTCTGTTCGAGTATATGTATGTACATACATATGCAACACTGACGCTTGCTTATAAATAGACTATGTCTAGTAGATATGAAGAAAAACAGTGTGTGAAACAACAAACACGCACGCACGCACGCACGCACGCCTTTGCATCTGCCTTTGCCTCGTACGCCTATCGCCGGCAAGCACCTTTCTCAAACTAAAACTATGCAATGCTACGCTCGCATGCCAGCCAGCAACTCTACACCGTTGAGAGCGTGTTGCCGATTTATAGGCGCGCGCGCGCGCGCGTGCATGCACACACACTCACACATCCGCGCGTTCATATGCACACGCCACCCTCAACAGCCACTCGGCAACGCCGCACACCTTCCTCACCTGCACTGTTGCTGGTGGCACTCACGCTCATGGCCGCTATCGCTGTCGCGTGTACGCCTACATAGTAAAAGCGTAACGTAAAGTACCTACGTAAAGGATATGCTTGGTTGTCGTGCGGAAGGCGCGCACTTTACGAGTAGTCCTCGCTTTTTGTTCTATTGCTTGCTCATATTTTCTTCTCTCACGCACGCTCTCTCGCTGGCGCAAGCGCGCTTGTACGCTCTGTTGTTTCCTGCGCTCAGCGCCCTCGCACACGGCTATCATTTTGACGTTGCGTCGCTGAAGGGGCGCTGCGCTTGTTGGCGGTGGTTTGTCTTTGGTGGCGCGGCAGAGTGTTTACGCTTTTAATTCATCGAAAACAAAACAGAATGGAAACAGACTGGAAATGCGTCAATGCAATTTGCTTTTTCCGTCTTGCGGCGCAGCGCGACGCTCAGTGGCAATGCAAAGAGCAGAGCAACAAAAGCGCAAAACCAAAAGAAACAAAAACATGTTCGATTAGAGGGGAACGTCGATTAGTGATTGTTTTTTGTTTGTTTCTGTGGTGTAGCGCCATGCCGGAAGTACAACACTTCTGAAATCGATTATCGAAATTGTTGTGTGAGGTCAATATTTTTATTTGGGTGATTGCAAGTTTACAGCGAAAGTATCGATGGAAAGCAAATCGAGAGTGCAATTAATCTACGGTTTGCCCTGGAAAATCTATAAAATTTTAAAGAAATTTTAATTTGAGACTGGTACCAAAAATTCAGGGGGATTGCCACCATCCACTTTTCCAACTTAAGAGCAAAGACCGAAGAATTCAACGACATGCTCCTCTCTCTTTTCGACTACGGGGCTCCCATGGCTAATACTAAAACAAAAATTCTAAAAATTGCAGCTCCAAACTTTGTGCTAATTTTCATTAAAATTTTAATTTTGTACTCCTCAATTACTCTTTTTAGAAAAAAATTGACTCTTATAAGGTATGGCGCATATTTAAGTATGCAAGGCTTTACCGTTCATTTTTGACGGTTTTTTTGCTTGACGCTCATGCACATTTTTTTTTTTCAGATGAAAACAATTTAAAACAAACGTTGTATGGCGAAAATAAGAAACACCTGCAGCAAAAAAAATTTCCAAAAACCTAATCTTTAAAATTACACTTTATTATGCTAAAATTCTATGGGCCAATACTGAGATTTTTCCAAAAGGCTAATTAAGGAATAAAATATAAAGTTAGCCTATATGTAATACACAACAAAAACGGCTTCTCATAAAAGTACAATATTTATATGTAATACACTTTTTAAAATAGCGGTTAATTTTGACGTAAAACATAACATTTCCATCTTTTGTAATAAAAAAGAACACAATTTCGAAAAAGATGTAACCATTTTCCTAAGTATGGCAAAGAATTTATGAAGTTTATGTTGAATGCTCATATCTTAATTAAGAAAAACCTTATCTCACATCTTGGGAGATCGATTTAATTTTTAACGATTTCTTCATGCATCGATTATTTTTATTTCGATTCGAATGGATTGAAAAATTGATTTTTTTTTTCGATCTGGCATCTCTAACCCGTTCTACTGATCATTGAGAGCCTGTAAACACTGCAGTATTTTATGGTATGTATAGCTTCTTATTCGTTGCTGTCCACCATATCAATACCCCATAAAATGGTACTGGCTTAACGATTGCCGTGAATATTTAGTGCGAAAGAGCAGGAGAAAGTCCCCAAGTACAACCCAACATCCTCTTGCATGTATGTATATAGTGCTGCCAAGGCCTTGCACACTCGCTTGTAATGATTAATTTAACTTACTAAAGTCCGGTTTTTCAATGTCTGGTTAACACAAATCAGAGGTGGAAGCTCCGGTTAAATACAACGATTGCTTCATCGCAAAAATCTAGAAACTATTCCAAATATTAGTCAAAATTATAAGGGATAATAGTGCAATATTTCATCTAAATCCGTGCAGCCATTTCTGGGTGAAGGGAGGTCTGGCATAGTGTCGGTTTTTAATATCATCAAATTTCAAATCATCCTGCATCTATAAATACGTTTTAGCTTCAAAAACTATGGGCCATGTGGTCTTTACTTTCCCATATTTAAAATTCGAATGAACGGTGCAAATATAATGAGGTTCACAAAAAAATGTGGTCTCTTATAGTATGTGTATATACATATTTAGATCGGTATGACATTTCGAAAAGGTGGCAAGCCTAATCTAAGATATTTTCACACGAAAGCTTTCATAAATCCCTTTCGATTGAAACTCATATTTTAATATTTCACAAAACTTGATATTTTAAACATGTGGAAACCTCCTAAATATAGTTCAATCTGTTCCGATTGATACCCATATTTTAATAATTCATTTAATTTTATAAAAAATTTAAATTTTTAAACAGGTGTCAGCCCTCATAAAACACCTCAAAAATATTTCGAGTGCTCAAACTAAAGATTTCTTCATACTCTTTCATTTGACGTATTTAATATGCCTTGTATAAAATTTAACAAAACTTGACATTTCAAACAGGTGGCAGCCGTTTTGAAAAAATATTTTCAAGTTGAAAACTTCTTCAATCACTTTTGTCTGACACCCAAATTGCGATACATATGTATGTATTTCAATTACCTTATTGCCTTAACATATGTTTGGTTTCTTTTTTTAAACAGGTGGCAACCCTCTTAAATATATTTCAAAAATAAAGTATTTTCAAACCATACCATATTTTTATAAAATAATCTGAAACATTCTTAATGTTCAAACTAAAGATTTTTTAACACTCTCTCGCTCGCGACATCCGTATTTTCATATTTCTAATAACTTGCCAATAAGTTAAATAAACCGGTGAAACCCTCTCCAAAAGTAGTCTCGAGCTAAAACCTTCTTGAATATTCCTACATTGCGACACATATGCTAATTAACTGATGCATTCAGTTGGTTTTAAATTATTAAAAATTTTAATATAACTTTTTAAACAGGTGGCAACCTTCTTACAACACCTCAACAATTTTCCTAATGTTTACACTAAAGACATCCATATTTTTTTTATATTTCATATATATTGTGTATACGTTTACTCAATTCGACATTTTAAGTAGGTGGCAACCTTCTTCAAAATATTTTCAAACGACTACCTTCTGAAACCCCTTTCGTTTGGCATCCAAATGGTGGTGCATATTTAACTTACCTAATATCCATAATTCAAATTGAATTTGATTTTTTAAAGAGGTCCCTCCTATAATAATAATAATAATAGATTGGCGCTTACACATATGTTAGTGTTTGGCCGAGCTTCTCCTCCGATTTGTGGCGTGCGCCTTGAAGTTGTCACACAAAGCGGAGGGACCTACAGTTTTACGCCGACTCCGAACGGCGATTGTATTTTTATGAGAAGCTGTTTTTCATGGCAGAAATACACTCGGAGGTTTGCCGCTGTTAAGAAAAAACCTTTTTTCTATATTTTTTTTGCGATGTTGCTTTGACCAGGGCTTGAACCCAGGCGTTGCGGAGTGTAAGAGGTCCCTCCTATAGTTAATTTAAAAAACAAAGCTTTCCAAAACCATTTCAATTGATACCCATTTTGTTATAATTGATTTACTTTTTTTTAATAATTTTAATATAATTTTTTTAAATATGGCAACTATTTTCAAAAAAGTAGAACCTTATTGCACATCTGCAATCCATTACATCCGTCTATGAACTTGTAGACGAGGCAAGAAAATACCAAAATGCCCTTAAATAAGCTTCTAGAGAGAGTTGTCCACTGAGAAGCAAGAACTCCCAAAGGGTGGAACAATTCTCTCGGGAAACTTCGGAACTGGACCGCCTACAAGTCAGCTCTAGTCACTTACAACTGAGAGCTCAGAAGGTGTAAAACCGTTACGTGTCGTGAGCACTATGGAAGCATTTCTTCCCTACCAGAAGTACATCGCCTTAAACTGGATCATATGAACGTCCTATGCACCCAGAAAAGACCACACGGCAAATACACTGGAACCCCGGAAGAAACTAACAGGCTTCTGCTAGAAATCCGCTTCCCGGATGTTTTTCAAAAGGCTCAAGTCCCATAACAAACACTGTGAGCGCTGTATGGGCAAACAGGAGGACAAGTGGCCTAGCAGGAAGAATCGTTAGTACGGAAAAGACATCGTGGGCCATTTCAACTTTTAGTACAAATAAATATCCTGGTCAAGATGGAATTTACGCATGCCTGCTACAACAGAGTTCGGGCATAATATCTGGGCCACATGTCAGATTACTGAGAGCAAGTATCTTACTTGGTCACATACCCTCAACATGGAGTGAAGTCAAAGTGGTCTTCATACCCAAAGTAGGAGAAAACTCGGTGCAGCTCCCAAAGGCGTATGGACTAATTAAACTCAGCTTCTGTGTAGTAAAAACATTAGAAAAACTAATAGACTTTCACAGTAGGGATAACTTTCTCAAGAATAAGCCTCTATGTGAGAGTTAGCACGCATATCGGGCAGTCAAATCTACTGTTATTGCAATACATAGCCTAACTCAAGTTATTGAAAAGACATTTCAGTATAAACAGATAGTTTTGTTTGCGTTCCTAGACATGTCAGGTGCTTTCGACAATACGTCTTACGAAGTAATATCGACAGTTATGATAAGGAAGGATCTAGAAGGAAGCTAGAAAGCTAAGCTGATTAGATTATAACTGGGATACAGTAAGCAAGCAGTAACTGCCACCCGTGGCTGTCCTCAACGTGGAGTCCTATCGCCC